TTAAGTGCTAGGTTTTCAGTAGGAGATAGGGTAGGGTTATGTTTAGAGTTATGTTTTGATTTTGAGTAATTATTAGGGTTAAGGTTAGGGAGTGGTGCCGGTGCCACCCGGCCAAAACGGACAGTACCTGAAAGAGGGAGTGAGGATTGAAAGAAAGGAAAGGAGACAGAAAAGAAGCTTGGGAGGGCTCACAGTGAATACTGCCAGCTCCGATTTATTTCAGTTCTGCCTTTTTATACAGAAGAACTCAGTTAGTTACAATTGCTGTATTTCCCCACCTGTATCTGAGGGTCAGGGAGCGGTCAGATCAAAGGCTTCTTGGATCCTTTTGTTTACCACTAATGCCTCAAGGTCAGGTATTGTGAGGCTCTCCAGAAAACTTCTTCCTCCTGAATGGGCAGGTTAAGTACTGGTTTGCATGACACAAACTCAGTAAATGAGGCTGCTGCAGCTCAATGATTAGCGGCTCCCCACTAAACTGACATCATTTGCTCTTTGATGCTAAGTGCATAGATTTCAGATTCAAGCAAACTGCCTGCAGGAACTGTGGAGCCTCTTTTCTATTGTGTCCCTAAGATTTTATGAAAATGCTTACATCAGTTTAGGGATTTTTCACAGATATGTATTATTGACTCAAGAAAAAATGTTTTTATGTAGAAGTAAGTATACTTTGTTATAATGTCTAGTTTTTTTTTAGTGTTTTATTATTTTTATTTTATGTGTATGAGTATATTGCCTGCATGTATCCAAGTGCACCTCTGTTGTGCAAAACCCACGGAGGTCAGAAGAGGGGTGTTAAATCCCCTGGAACTGGAGTTACAGATGGTTGTGAGCCACCAGGTGGGTGCTGTTAAAAAAAAAACAAGTCTTCTGTGAGAATAGCCAGTGCTCTTAACCATTGAGCCATTTCTCCAGCCCCAATGTCTAGTTATTGTAAAGAGATAGTACTGAATGACAAAGTAAAAAATGCTGAACATTTTTGAAAACTAGAAATACTTTTTCTTCTTATTCAGATTAGATGTGTGACAGGCTGGGAGGTATAGTTTGAGGAAAATAGATCCTCAGGTCAGGATGGGCTGGATCTTACGTTGGCCTTGAACTTGTCTGCAACATTGAGATTATCATCTCATGTCGCTATACCTTAAAATGTCAACTTAAAATGATAATGATACTGAAAAATAAAAGTCAGGCGCCATGAAGTCTCTCAGGCAGGTCGCGTACAGGTCAAGAATTCCAACTTACTGATAAGTAAGTTTTATGGCCAAGACATCTGGCTTACTGATAAGTAAGCTTTATGGCCGAGACATCTGGCTTACTGATAAGTAAGTTTTATGGTTGAGACATCTGGCTTACTGATAAGTAAGTTTCCCGCTTTCCCCATAGCATTTTGTAATAGTTTAAATTAGCCAATAACCGCGCTTCTGCTTCGGTATCCCGCTTCTGTTCTATAAAAGTTCCACAAACCCAACCTGAGGCGCGCAAGTCCTCCGAGGAGACTTTGTGCCCACAGGTACCTGTGTACTAAATAAACCTCTTGCTGTTGCAACCCGAAGGCTGACTTGTCCTCTGTGGTTTCACTCTTACATTTGGAGGTCCCACCGAGATTTGTCGGTCAGAGGGAGCCACCAGGGCAACTCGAGCCTTGCGGGGAGGTGAGTTGGCCAGCCTCTGTGTTGTATTGTCTGGTTTTGTTGATAGTGCAGCAGCTGTAGAATCTGGGGATCCCGTCTGTATTTCTGGGCAGTGCAAAAGCAAGACTGACGAGTCTTTAAGCTTTGCCTGCCAGCCTGGGGGACGCTCCAGGACTGTGAGACCCACGTCTGTAGAACTTTTTGTTCATCTGTAGGATTTCTGTGGATCTCGTCTGGACAAGGAACTTCCTTGTCATCTGTTATTCCGAGCTGCACACCTGAGTCAGTGTCAGTGTTTCTGTGTTGCTGTGTATTTGTGTTGGTCGCGACCCATGGTCTGGGGAGCACGATATTTTGGGGCTCAGCATGTATCTGAAGGATACGTGAACCTGAGCGAAGTGACAACCTCGCCATCTGATTTTGTTCTTTCAGTTTTTCTCCGCAGTCGCGCTAAGCGGTACCTTGTCGCCGGCTGTCTATTTTTGTTGTTTCTGTTGTTTGTCTGCCTCATTGTGATTTTAGATCACCCCAAAATGGGACAACACCTAACCACCCCCCTGAGTTTAACTCTAGATCACTGGAGAGAAGTTAAGAGCCGAGCTCACAATCAATCTGTGGAGATCAAGAAGCACCAATGGATAACCTTTTGTTCCTCTGAGTGGCCAACGTTTAATGTTGGTTGGCCTCGGGATGGGACTTTTGACTCTGATGTTATTTTGCAGGTTAAAGCTAAGATCTTCTCCCCTGGACTAACGGGACATCCGGACCAAGTGGCCTATATAGTCACTTGGGAAAATCTCTCCCTTGACCCACCACCGTGGGTGACTCCTTTTCTCAGTCCTGCACGAAGAATCCCCCTCCCTTCTGCCCCTAACCCGGACCCTTCGACCACCTCCTTGTGTCCTGTTGTGGTAAAACAAAAGCCTGTTCTGCCCCCTGATGAGAGTGCTCCTGCTGATCTGCTGAGTGAGAATCCCCCTCCCTACCACCCTCC